TGAAATCCCCAGTTAACAGCGTGTGAATTTTTAGAATGCCATTCTAAGTGTGTAACCATCCTCAACGCCGAGGGATCGCCATTTGGATCTTGTGCCTCTGATGCAAATGTTGATTGCTCTTAGTATAGCAAATGAAATTCTACATCTCACCCAGCACATGACATGACTATATGGGCGGTCCCATTTTGATGCCAGACCATCTACTAGTCGTTTGAGGAAAAACGTGAACTCCGGTGCCAAAACACCATCTATTGAAGTGACAAGTGGAGTGAAAGACATGTGCTTTTCTTCACAAGCTGGTCCATACTTATTTTTCTTCTCAATCTCTGCAGTTTTCAGTACATTCATGGGATTGCGGTTTTGGTAAGACGGAGCGTCAGTGTCTGTAACACGGATGTCGAACGACGCAGCCGACTGTCTATCCCAAACCCCACGAGCTGAAAGATCTGCAATTAGTGCTGGGGTTCCATTTTTTATATCTGGTTCTTTTACGACAGGTTCTCTTTTCACATCTTTCCACAAAATTGAAGCAAGATCGCCCACTGCGTCTCTTATTTCGTTGTGTCGTAGTGTTACCAGTCCGCCCTTCTTGCAAGAAAGTGCATGCTGTTAGTCAAAATCTTGTTGACATCCATCGCATCTCGAGAAAGAACGTTTGAGTGGTTTTCTGTACCTAACACATATAGCGTCTCTGAACTCTGTGGCTGACAAATCAAAATTATCTTTCAACAAGGGCAGCGAAGTTAGCCGCAAGGAACAGTTGTTGTCGATTATTCTCCGGATCGCTCGTTTCTGATCTGCTGGTAAAACTGCAAGCAATTCATCGAGTTTATCTTTGTCCACAGCATTTTTTTCTCCTCGTGATTTTTTCTTGCTTCTCTCATCTTTGTTCTGTGTAGAAATTGGTCGAAATCATCTTGGTTAAGGATCGAACTCACGAGAGAGTCGGTTGCTTCACGTGAAGTGGAAAATGCTAGTTTGGAACCTTCTTTTGGATTTCGTACACCTAGTCCCCCTCTTTTGACAGGAAGTGAATACAAAACACGATCTGAGTGTGTGACACTAGAAGTTCCTAGTAAGCTTGGAAAAAAGTTTTCCTCCAACATCTTCTCGAGAGGAGCAAACAACTGCGACGTATCTTCATACATACATTTATACATACATACATATATACATGCATACATACATGTATACTTACATAAATGAAATAACTATCAAAAAGAGGCATGTGCTCAAGCATTGTTTGGTAACTCTTTAAGAGTTGACTGTCTTCCAAAAATTCTAAGGACCAATTATCTCGACAAGTTACATAAATCCAACGACATACTCTTTTTCAACAAAATGGTAATGCCACCACATTTGCGGCCTCCGATAATGATGCGCCTCCGTGAAGGTCATTCGGGCATTTGGAAAATGAAAGACATAGTCAATAATTACTTTTGGTGGCCCCATATGAAACGGCAAACCCAGTTGACGGCGGCAATTTTACGAGAGTGCAAAAAAATTGGTAATAATCTCAAATCAGTTATTCCCGAGGGAGATGGTACGCCTCTGGAAGTTTTAGAGGAACCGAATCAGGAGATTCAGTTGAATTTTTTGGGTCGTTACCGACGGTTTGGGGGGCTAATAAGTGCATTCTCATCTGTGGATCGATTCTCTAAATTTCCGTCACTTCAAGTTACCCTTGAGGGGATCATTAAGGACTTTCTGGAAAACTATTTTGCGTTACACGCTATACTGTGTGTCATTCGGACTGACCAGGGATAGGGCTTCATTTCAAAATCTACTCGCGATTTTTAAGCGAAACATAAAATTCGATTGATAGTTGCGCCTGTCGGTAAACAACGGGCAACCGGTTCTGTCGACCGACGCATCAGAAAAATTAGAGAACGCCTTATGGTGTATTCTTTTCAAACGCCTAGACCTGCTTTAAAAAAAGTGTTCCAAGAAAAAATGCTTTGTACTTACATGACTACCCATCAGTCACGGGGTTGTTCGCCATTTGAAGTACATTTTAGTCGCAAACCAAATACAATTTGACACACGGTTACTTAAGCGGCGTTTGTCCAAAACTTGTCTTGGAAACGTTTTATGTTTCCTAGATAAAAACAAGAAGATGTTCCCGTCTCAGGCGAGGCAAAATTATACTTTGCTCGATGACACAATAACAATGGGAACATACGACCGGGTTGAACATCCATTATTGACCCAGAGAGATGAAGATGCCGGGCCCAGTCAGGACACCCCGAACAAAGCACCCATTTTGAGCGCCCAGAAAAAGGTTACAATTTGTTTCGATAAAAAAAGGAAACTTAATTATAATTTAAAATGGAAACTTAATTATAAACCTTGGTCGGAAAAAGTTTTGCGAGAAACTGATCATACAATCACGTTGGATTCGGGAAAGGTGGTTCATAAATCTGATATTTTGATATATTTTGGTGAAAGATCCTCAGAACCAGAACAGCCGACACCGACGTCTCCGAAAACGAAAAAAACTCTCAGTCTAATGATTTGGACGACCGGCGAGCGAGTAACCTTGAAGATCCGAGAAAAAGAGCAGCGCTGTTGGAACCGAAAGCGACTCCGCAAGATGTTCCCAACTCTGGAGTCAAGGATAGGGACGAGGCGGTCAAGAAAACTGGATCAGTATATAATCCTTTTTTTTGACAGCTCGTCGAATGGACTAATGTCTTTAGAAAGCCCAGTAGGCAACTTAGCCAAAAAATACTAACTCCGCGCTTAGTCGTCCAAATATGTAATTGTGTCAGAACGTCTCACAGCCGCCAAAAACTGAAAAAATTGTCCCTTATTCGAGCTCCGAAGAAAACAGTGGAGTTAAATAGGATTTTGGCACAGGATTAAAGGAGCAAAGCAGTTCTATCGTTATTTCGTCAACTGAGGAAGCGGAAGAAACTTGCTCCACTGCAAAAGAATCCTCAGGAATGGATGTCCAGGAGAGATCAACCAGTCCCTACAAGCAATACGAACAAGCCACAACGCCGAAACCAGTGGAAATGAAATGTCTTACCTCACCGCCAATACTTGTGTCGACGGATCTGGGGGAATCTAGTAGCCCGCTGGTTAGCACGCCGAGAGCAGTAGTGAGGCACAATACCCGGCCGCTTCGTGATCGTAACGCCCCCCCCCCCCCCCCCCAGTTCTTGGGGGAACGCTTCTTCACTAGTGTTATTACCTGTGAGGCTTCGATCGTCCAGGCGAAGGACAGTTCTGACGACGAAGAAATTAGCGAGATCCACTTTTAAAACAACCAACCGCCCCGAGGATCTTGTCACAGTCGAGACCGGAGACAAACACAGAAAAAAAGGGTTCACCGAAGAAAATCCCGAGCCCAAAAAAAACGTAAGGGCGAAGACAGCTACTTCGACCGGGAATTGTGTCGTTTTTATTGGGGGCAGACTACAAACAAGACGACAATAATGGATTTGATTTGATACTCTGGTGTCAGGGCATTTTGTTGATGTATTAGAAAAGCTCCGCCGTATCACAACAATTCTAAGAACCAACGTCGCAGATGCTCAGAGAAATACATTTGATGGGTTCCGTTTACAGTCCCTCTATCAAGGTCTTGAATCGCGTATCTGAAACAGTAGAAACAACCCTGGGCTCGGCAAACTGGTCGATGTGGCTTAAGCTATAATTCAGCGGATTCGATTAGCATTAGATGTAGCGGGTAAAGAAGTTTTATCACGTGTACTGGTGTAGGAAGATGGCAATAGTCCAACTCAGAGTGTTCGGCGCGTCAAATTTGGCACTTGTCTAGATAACTCTGACACAAAAACTAGCGTCGTTATTGAAACGGAAAAAATGCCTCTGGCACCTATATCGGCCGAGTCAAGCGCTAGCAAACCGAAGGTATTGGCGGTCAGCTCCTCACCGGATTCAGAGCAGTCAATTGCAGAAACAAAAGTCCTGGATGATTCGGTTACGGATTCGAAAAGGAAAGGACGTTCGAGCATGGATAATGAAGAGCCATCGATTGTTATATACGGAAACGCCAAAATTGCGATTACAAGAGACTACAGTGGTCCGATTGTAACGGATGATCTGGGTTTTTCTGATGAGTTATCGGCAATCAGTATGACGGAGAAAGATCACCGTCAAAATTTGGAGGAACTAGAAAGTCTGTAGGCAGCCGTCATTTGAAAACTTTAATCTTTTCCCGAAGGAAGGAAAAGAGGGTTGGGAGATAGTGGCTATTGAACTCTTAATACAGTTGAAACTATGTATATTTATTGATGTGCAGTAAAGTTAAGTACTATACATTTTGAATTGATGCAGTGGAAGTGTCGTGAAGTATATTAAGTAACATAAGATTATTACGTATTATGTATTACATTGTTATTGCATCAAGGTCAAGAGTATAGAGATTGCTGACTAAGCGTGTTGCCATTGGCGCTAGTAATGATAGAGAATTTAAGTTGTTCTTTTTACGTTCTCTTTACGGTAACTTAGACATGCACGTACCTTCAATGAGTGTACCTCTTTTTAAAAAAACCTTCAAAGTTTGTTAAAATTTTGTATGACAGGAAAATATTCACACGAATCTTATGAAAATTTCTAAAATAGGAAATATTTTGTGGAATGATCAACCGAGTTGGTTCAAATATGATAAAGTGGTCAACCAGAATGGGCAAAAAAACTTCTTGAAAAACGGGACTTTTTTATTTAATCTAATCGAAGAATAAACATTGAGCAGCATTAAGCAAAATAAGCAAAAACAAGCTGATTTTCACCCTTTTTGAGGAGATTTTACGTCATCTTGATTTTTTAATGACATTTCACTCTTGATTTCAGCAACAAAAAAATAGTGTACATCAACAAGCTCATTTTGCTACAAACGCATTTTTCTAATCCATCAATTTCCAAGTAGCAGCAATTGTTCAACCTCCAGCTGAAAAAAAGGTAGCTTTAATACGTCTTTCCTTCAAAAAAAATACGGCTTCGGGTAAAAATTAATTTCATACATATTAAAAAAATGTTTTGGCTGGTTTATTTATATACGTCTTCTTTTTCTTCGTTTTTTCTTAAAGTCATACATCTAGTACGTAGGGTGAATTGTGTTTGAAGCGTGGTCTTCTTCGTCTATGATTATCCAGATACCCTAAAAACAAACAGCCGCAATTAAAATGAGTTTTTAATTATCCAAAATTAAACTTTCATTTAAATATTGGATATCTTTTTTGCGGTATTTTGTATTTAACTTTAAAATCAGACGCTATAAACTAGAGTTTTGTGCGATGTTTCAACACTTTTTCTAGCAGTGGTAACTCTATCAGTAATATTTATATCAGTGGTATGCGCAAAAATATTTCTAAGGTTTCGAAAAAAAGTCTAGGGTTTCGAAAAAAAAATATGAAAACTTAACCGACTTTTTTTTCCGAGCTTTTCGTAATTACTAAAAGGACCTTATTTTGTCTAAAATTTTCTGAAGTTTTGAGAACTTTTAAAAAATTATTTGACCAAAAACTTGAATTTTTTCGGCGCGCGTTCTCCCCTCAAATTTAGTTATAGTGGCGCTTGGCGCCAAAGGCGCCTTCAAAATTTTTTGATGTCGGCCAGCCAAAAATGGATCAAAGGGGGACCGATTTAAACCATAAGGGGGTATATATTTTGGAAAATAAGGCAAAAAAATATAATAAAAATTAATAAGAAGTTAAGCACCTCAGGAAAAAATAAACTTTAGGTGTGGTTACCTTGAAAGATCTTGCAAGAGTTTCAGTCCTGCAAAATCTTTAAGATCTTTAAAAGATATGCTTAGCTTTTTTAAGAATCTTGTAAGAATGTTGCAAGGTCTTGCAAGATATAAACCTCCTTGATTGAATAGGAAACATTAGCGTGGCTGCTCAAATAAACAGTTCAGTCAACCTTTGAGTCGTCCAGTGGTATGTTGTACTCTGGAACTGTGTGGTGTGTGGCAATGTGCTCCTCTATCTCGTCCTCAATCAGATCTTCCGGATAGGCACTGGCCGTCCACTGGACCATCAACTTCTTCCTGTTTCCAGGCTCAACCACCATCATACACAGACGAGTTCCACCCTCGAATCCAAACAAGACCTGGAACAATCACTTAGAAACTAAAAAACAAATTAGCAAAGTTTTCTTTTTCAGACTAGATTTTTTCGCAAAAAAGTTGAAAATCAGCAGCAAAAAAAATTAAAGAAATTTTTTTTTGAAATATCGGCATTGTTTTTCTTTAAGGTACGGGGTAAGTTTATTGAGAAAGTTGTATCGGTAAAGTGCTTGCAACACGAATAACGATGAGTTTTTTTAGAGTTTTTATCTAAATTATCTAAAGTTTTATCAACCGCCAATTTATTTGTTTCATAACAAAGAAACTATCAAAAGTGAATCACGATATTTTCGCCACTTTAAAATTTTCAAAAATTGCGAAAATATTTTAAAACACAAATAAAACCAGTTTGCTGGCATCGAAGCGTTACCTCGAAAGATCCGATTGCCTTTTCAGTTCTAAATTAGAAGCCAAACTGTGCACTGGATAGGCGCGCATTTAGTGTCCTTAAACTTGTTCCAAACTGTAAGTGGATTCTACATACAAAAACTTTATGGATTCCCCGCTCAAGCACGTGTAACCCAAATTTTGTCCACACATTAGTTTTCACGCCGATTCCGCAACAAGCGAGTTTAACAAGTTGTTCCGGAATCCGCATATGTCAGCGTGTTCCGCTCATTGTAAGCAGGTTGCGCAAATTTGATTGGATTCCGCCTATATTTTGCGGATTCCAATTACAAAATGCGGATCCGCTTACAATTTGCAGATTCCGTTTACAATTTGCGGATTGCACTTACAGTTGCTGTTTCCGCGACTTTGTCGTTTTACTAAAAACAAATGTTAACATTTGTTTGTGGATTTCATAAACTGTTCCGAATTCAGCAAATTTTGGTCCATATTATTCACATTTTGTAGCGAATTCCAGAAATCCACTAGTTTTGGAGCAGTTTTGAGCAATATATTGTTTTGGTATTTTTCATGGAAACTAAAACAGCAAAGAGTTTTAAACAACTAGCGTTGTTGTGTGTGACGAATCTGTTTTTGGCCTGTGGCTGAATCGGCTTATAATTGATAAAATACAATGTTTGGCCTCGTAATTTATGGAGTAGTGTTTGTTTTAAAATGCCGATGAAAGTTTTGACAAAAATAAGTAAAAGTAATGCAAAAAAAAACGTGATCCCCCATGTAAAGTACAAATTCATATCATTCGCAAACAGCAAAATATTAAATATCCCAAACAGAAGACTCATTTCATTTTGGAACAATCATAAGACAAATTAAATCGCCCACGGGTGAATAGCATAAAATTAATAGCGTAATAACGGTCTCAGACTTTAAACCAGCATAGTTTTACAAAAAATGAGAACAATTGAACTATCTTTTTCAGTTTGGATTTTAAGCTTCATGCAAAAATATGTGTCGGATGATGAAAAACACCCGCGGATGTTTTTCAAAAACTGAAAAACAAACGTAAAAAAAAATTTTAGTGGGGCAACTTAGAATTTTGAGTGGGAGATTTTCGAGCTCTTACAATTTAGCACAAGAAAATACATGTAATTTTCATTAAAAAAATAGTTTATGCATGTTACTAAACAGAATAAAATAATTGAAAACAACGAAGAAGCCCAAACATCAGAGCAAAGCCCAACATAATCCGGTTGCATTACAGGCCCATTAAAAAAAGTTTGTTAGGAAAACTGAAAAAAAAACTTAAAAGAGTTTTTTTTTATTTGGTTCTTCATTTTATCTAGCGATGATAAGATTAAAGGGATGTTTTTAGCGTCGTATATCCTTATAATGAGACTAATTGACTAGCTTCAATTCAATTTAGAAAGTTTTTATTTCGACGATTACGCATGTTATGAAAACACAATATACCAAGCGTTACTTATCCTAAATTGCTCAAAAAAGCCCTTCACAAATCCTCATAACTTAACGCTTAACGAAAAATGATCAGTGAATTGATTTTAAGCTCCAGACAGTAATATGCTGTCAAAAGATGACTGAATTAAAAAAACAAAACAGGCAAAAATTATTCAAGTAAGAAATCAATTTTGAAAAAAATATATTTTATTATAAACTTCAAAAAAAAACTTTTTGCAATTTTTTGCCTGCTAAATTTCTTATAGTCTTTTTTAGAATTTTTTAAGAAAATTAATTAGATTTAAAAAAAATCAAGACAAAACGGTTTTTATAGTTACAAAAATGTTAGTCTCAATTTTCAATTTTCCAACACTGTTAAAGTTAAAATCTCTTAGCAAACTTCGTCTAATTTAGTCTGAAAAACGAAAATAATCAGGCAGTTTTTTTTATTTGAATTTTTGATATTTTTTGAATGCGAACCACCATCAATAGAGCTTTTAGATGACTCTACCCTTGACCTCTACAAGTTTAGCTTGAGTAGTTGAAACTGGCGGGGCAAATTTATAAAAAACCGACATAGTTCCTTTCCACTCTTCGAGGACGAGGGCCGACCTTTTACTAGACTCGACAAACTAATTTGATTGACAGATGCAATGACGTCGTTTAGTTTAGATAGCATTGCTCAGCAAAGTTTCGTTTGTTCTAACCGTTTCCTTTTTCAATCTTCCATTAATTTTAACTCATCTTAACTGAAATATTGCATTGTGGTTCGGTAAAAGGTCGGTTTCGTAAAAAGTTGGGCGGTTAAAGACCTAGCCCCTTCGAGAACAGGCCGGAGCAAAAAAAAGTACAGCAGTATGAACGGAGTGCGGTCTGTATTTAGACAACCGCGTATTCATGCTCGTCAGTAAGCAGACAAACACTATGTTAACCAATCAGAATCGAGATGAGAAATCAAACTTACGAAATAAATAATGTTTAACTATCAATTTCTTCCTTGTCTCGATTCTGATTGGTTAATATAGTATTTGTCTGCTTACTGACTAGTAAGAAAACGGTGTTGTCTAAATACTGCTAAGTAACCGGCATGTACTACTCACTTGTAGGACCATATCGTGCAGTGTCCTGTGTTCTGTGGTGTGGCATATGAACACCACATCCACGCCACTCTTGTGGGCAAATCCCAGTTTGAACATGCCGGGCGAGTGAGGCAGCAGTTTGGTCGTCTCGTCTATCGTGTGCCAATCACTTCCAATGCCCTCAACTGCCTCGGCCGCCTGTCTGCAGTGAACAAAAATGACGTCAATGCAGAGAACAAAAAAATGACATCTTACATGTGAACATAGAATGACGTCATAGCAGTGAACAAAAATTGACGTCATAGCAGTGAACTAAAAATGACATCATTGCAGTGAACAGAAAATGACGTCATAGTAGTGAACTAAAAATGACGACGTCTTAGAAGTGAACAAAGAATGACGTCATGGCAGTGAACAAAGAATGACGTCATAGCAGTGAGAAAAAAATGACGTCATTGCAGTGAGCATAAAAATGACATCATTGCAGTGAACAGAAAATGACGTCATAGTAGTGAACTAAAAATGACGACGTCTTAGAAGTGAACAAAGAATGACGTCATGGCAGTGAACAAAGAATGACGTCATAGCAGTGAATAAAAAAGGCGTCATAGCAGTGAGCAAAAAATGACATCATAGCTGTGAGAAGAAAATGACGTCATTGCAGTGAACAAAAATGACGTCATAGCAGTGAACAAAAATGACGTCATTGCAGTGAACAAAAATTGTCATCCTAGCAGTGAACAAAAAATGACGTCATAGCAAGGAGCAAAAAGTGACCTCAGTAAAGAAAACAAATTTGTGATTTTTCCCCAACACAAGGTGTTAAAGATCACCAAACTCAGTTTTTCTATTTAGGCAGGATCAATTACCACAAAGTATTATATGAAGTCTTAGTAGTATATGAAGCATTTTAAAGAGTGATAACTTTTCCAGTGTTCAGAGAAGAAAACTGAAATAATTTTACAGATCAGTTAACTGGCGAGATTAATTTTTTGAAGTATTGGTTGATTGACTGGTGGCGTCCACGATCTGTTATTGACAATAACACTATTCTTTAAAATATTATCTTACATTTTGCAACTAAAAACCGATTCAACAAAAGCAAATACTCCTTATCTCATTAAACATCAAACAAATGTAGCCACAAACACTGATTTAAACTCAATTATTTGGGGAACCGCTCATGCGCGAAGGACCGAAAGCGTGAAATTTTGACGGCCAATTAGAAATCATTATAACAAAAATCGATGAAAGTAAGCAATAAAATCAGCCGTTTTTGGACAGGTGAAGTTCTTGCGCGTTTGGTCCTTTTCCCTTGCTCATAAAAATGGACCCTGCATTATTCCGGTCGTGTCGACTGTACGCGCAGTAAAGTAAACGATTGCGAGTTGCCAATATCACATTTGAAATTAATTTTCAAACTTTGCGAGTTGTTTCGGTATCCTTTTTAAACTAGTCATTTTGAGCAATTTCAGCAACTAAGTTTTTTAGGTTGTAGTCCTCCTTTAGACATAATCTCGTCAAAATAACCTGATCCATCTCACACTCAAGAAAACGGACCGCAGAACACATTTGCTGTTTTTTAACCTTGAACTTTTTTTTAAATTGCTAGTTTTCAACTGCCGACATCTTTACAAAAAATATTGCCTGCATTTATCATATCTTTTTAGTGTTAAACTCAGCGCTTTGCTATCTAGCCGACGGTATGAGAAGATCCTGTCAAAATCTACAATTTAGTAAGAACGAATTTTATTCAACTTAGGAAAACTAAACTAAGCAAAATCTATTTTTTGTATTGAAATATTGGACTTTTGACAGTGTTTTTTGTGATTCCATAAAAACCTCCGCACCACAAAATTTTAGCAATGAAAACAATTATCGACATATTGAAATTGAAAAAATAATAATAAAAAATTTGATTTGAAAATTTTCAAAAAACATTTGTGGTGCGGAGGTTTTCATGGAATCACGAAAATACTGTCAAAAGAAACATTTCGCTATAGACAGTAGTGTTTTTGTGATTCCATGAAAACCTCCGAAGCATAAAAATTTTTTGAAAGCTGTTAAATTAAATATTTAGCTAATATTATCTGCAGGGGTGGATCTAGGATTTTCTCGAAGGAAGCAAGCACACACACACACACACACACACACACACACACACACACATTTCCCACCCCATGTCCCACTTCCCGTAAAAGTGAATGGAGTTATTGCAGGGGCAAGTGTTTGTAAACTTGGGGGAGGTAGAAGAGGATGGGGCTGAAATTGGAATAAGAATCTTTGAACAGACAAACCAAAACAAACAAAAATAGCCGGTTACTGTGCAAGTAGCCCAGAATGTTCCGACCAGTCTTAAAAAAATACAAAAATGGTTTCTCAAAGTGGTGTCGTTTTTTTTTCTGCATGTTGTGATAAAAAAAATCTAAACAGAAAGATAGAACTTAGGCATATTTGAGAGTCATAGTAAAATAGGTCAATTGGAACACAATTTTTAAAGAAAAATGACTAGAAAAACGAAAAAAAAAATCAAATCTTGTTGCGACTAATAACTTATTAGCTCGAAATTAGACAAAAAATCAAAAATTTCAAACCGGTTTTTCTCGAAACTGTGAAAAAATTTTTGAAACTTTCTAAAGTAATTCAAATGACGACTGAAAGGGCTTCAATATGATATATCACTCAACCCCGTCCAGCAATTATTTGTGGTAGCTGATTTTGCGTGGAAAACAAAAAGAAACAAAAACACGCCCGAATACAAAGTTAGTCCCCATTTTCAATGGTCGGAACAATAGAGATTTTCTGAGCCAAAATAAATCTCATTTTATTTAATTTAATGTGAGTTAAAACAAAGCAACTTTCAAGCTGTGAAAATACTCCATTGTGTATGAAAACTCTAATGACCAATGTTTTTTTTTAAAAAAACGGCCAATAATCCATTATGATTAGTTTTGTTTGATTAAAAGGTTTTTTTATGGATTTGAGAAAAATTAAGATTATACTTCATTTTTAATCTATTAATAATCGAATAATTTTAAAATTTAAAGAGAATGAGAATCAAAATCCAAAAACAGCAATTATCATCACTAAAACTCCAGTGCGAGCGAGGTTCATTCAACAAAATAGCCAAAGTATCATGATTTTATAGTCTAAAGGTAACGAAGGTGACCGAGCAAGTTCTTATTTTGTGCAGACTGCAAAAATAATAACTATCTCTGTTTTTTTTTCACTAATTTTAGTAAAATTGAAATTAAAAAAAAAATAAAAAACAGCATTGGGCCATTACTAAATCTGTACTGTTACAGTGCTACAACATATATCTCTAATCTCATCTCTGGTCAGAATTAGAGTGGCAATGTACGGAGTGTTAGCCATATTGGAATTTCACTGAACCATTAAAGGAACAGTACTATTTTGTAATGCAAGACGAATCCGGGGGTAAAAAAATTAAGACTGCTTGTTTGAATCGTCTCATCAATTTTTTCAGTCTGAAAGTTTTTGAGGAGATTGTACCGAAAGTAATTCTTGACACGTCAAGCTCGGTGTAAATTGGTGCCAAATACAAAAAAAAAATATTTTACGCGTCTGAATAAATGAAGGCTCTGTTTTGGGACCAGTTTGCGAAAAAAGATGAATGAAACTTTTGTTTGAATGAAGGAACCGAATTCCTCGCAGGTCTCGATAGGGAGCGTTCGCTCGCTTGTTTCTAATCAAATCTTTCTCGGCCTATTTAAAAAGAAGAATTTTTAAAATCAAGTTAAATCGCTCAGAGCAGACAAATTCTTGTGCTAGTTGCAAATGATTTTCATATAAAATTTTCTTGTTCCAAACAAGTTCTCAATATCTGCAAATTTGAACTCAATACTCATTATTAATTATATTTACTGGTGACGTCCTTTCGGGTGAAGTGAGTTTTGACCCCATGGGATTGAAATTGACCCTGAAGATGACCTCGTCTGACACAAAGACTTCGCACGCTTTTTGCCAGTCGATGATTTGCAATTGACAGATGACGTCATCTTTTGTGATTTGAGAACAAATATTTAGTAAATTTCAAATTTTCTAGTTTTATTATAAATTTAAACTCTTTGTTGATGCGCAAACGTCTTTGAAAAACTATTTTAAACTCAATAACTTAGGTTTTGAGGAATTTATTGAAGAAAACTGGAACCTATTAAGCAGTTTCCACTGTACGCGCATAAAATAAGTTTTTTTTTTCTATAATTTTTAAAAGAACAGTTGATGCATTTTTTAGCTAAGAGTTAATGAATTTTTTAGCTGCTAAGAACTGAAGACTTCATAATATGAGTGGCGGAATTTTTGAAAACGCTACTGCAGGCGCGATTTAATCTAAACTCTAAAAGTACAAATTAGGATCTAAATTTCAAAGAGACTGGAGGTCTTTGAGAATCAAATGCTAGTTAGATGCTAGGTGAAAGTGCTGTCACAAAAGCAATTACGTCACGTCTCCGATTCTATTTGATAGTCCCAGTTCAAAATTACAGTAATCGAATAGAGCAGCTTTGGGTCTGCGCCGAGTAATCGCAAACAGCGTCATTGAAATGTTCGTCAATTTATGTTTTAAGCATCCAGAATTGACCTTTGCGACCTTTTTCACCCGGCTTGACCTCAACAAGAAAAAAAGTAGTCATAAAATTTCATTTATTGAGCCTATGAAAAAAAAGGCTAGTCTAACAATTTCATACGATAAAAATTGTATAGTCCTCATTTTTCCGCAAAATGGCCCTCATTTTTTTCGCAAAATGGCCCTCGTTTTTTGCAAAATCGTTTCGAGGCACAAACAAACGTTTTTCAAAAAGTTGGAGTTTTTTGTCTTTAACTAGTCCTAGCGCAGTGTTTTCACAAAAAATCATATTGCGTTTAAACATTTTAAAATCAATTTTTGTTGCAGCCATAAATCAGTATGTGTGTTTTGTGTGATTTTTTTCTGTTGAGTAAAATAATATTAGAGACTGTCAAAAAACAGGCAACAAAAACAAGCTAGTTATTCAATCTCATATCATGGATAAAACATTGATCGTAAAATTATCAGACAATTTTCTAGGCAAACACTATATTTTAGAATTAGATATTCGCACCATGTCTCAAAATCTGGCTTACATTGATTATTTCTTATAATTTATAGAAGATTTTATAGACAATTTTATAGAACTTGTGTCGACACTTTTCTTGATTCGTTACCTAAGTTTTTGCTCAAAATCATTTTTACAATGATATTTATATTTCTACGATTTAATGCATGTTTTCGAGCTCAAAAACTGATTTAAACTGACCATTTTCTT